GGGTGGGAGATCCTGTGACCCTGGAATGTTCTGCATCAGGAAAAGATTTTGTAAACATGTACTGGTACAAATTACCCATGGAGAAGGATGCTGGTATGCAGTTGATTATATACGCAGCTGAAGGCAGCAAAGGAGATATTGAGAAGGAATTCAAAAACCATTTCCAGAGCAATGGGACTAAGAATAACCATTTATCTGTGAAGATAGATCATGCCCTCCTCAATGACTCTGGCACATATTTCTGCGCTGAAGCAAAATCCACAGTGACTCAAAGGATGGTGCAGCATAGCACAAACCTTTCCTGGCAAATAGGGATCTGTCACCAGCACATATTGGGACCTGTGTTTCCTAGTACCCCATTTTCTTCTCTGGCCCTCCAGCTCTTGGAAAAGACATTGGATCTCTGACTATCTGTCTGTCTTGTCTTCTGCATGGTCTGTCACTCATCCTCTATTCTTTCCAATCTCTGAATCACCTTCTGACTCGTCTCCCTTCTTGTCTTCCCTGTCTTACCTCATTTCTCTGCCATTCACAKATAAATTGTGTGTCCCTCTGACCTTTCTTCTCTGTCCTCTCACACCTTCCTATTTCGTTCATTCTCATCCATTTCTTCTTTCTTTCAGTCTGCTACATCAACTCATGGGGTAGCAGTATGTGGAAGAGTTCACACAGCCCTTTTCCTTCTCCATCAGCTGGAAGAAGGTCAACTGGTCCTTACCCCAGTGGTCTCCACTCRCTGCTCCCCCTTCACATCTCCTTGGGCAGCTACACCAGGCAGGTTGCTGAGAGTGTAGGGGCTTTTCCCCATGGTTCCCTGCTGTTTCTTTGTGGCCATGCTGGCCCCTGTGGGTAAGTGAACTCAACTCAGCCCTGAGCACCTACACCCACCCCGCTGCTGCTGTCCCAGCTGTGAATCCTGTTGCTGGCAGGACTACCTTCTGTAGAGCTCCGAGTGTTGAGGATAATCAATATGAATGAGGTTGGCAGCCATTCCCAAATCGTCAGCAATGGTTGTTTAACTCTCATTCTCTGTGCAACCCCAGATGGCAGGTAGTTTTGGACACAACCTGTCCAGTAATGCCACTTGCTTACTGGAGAGTGATTGAGATGTCACTTGCTGATCTGAAGAGCTGTCACAAGCCTTGCACTGCTCCCTAGCCTGCCCTATTACTTCTCATCCTTTCCCTGCCAACCCACATTGCCTACTTCACATTTTTCCATTGTTTCCTTCTCACTGTTCCTTCTTTTCCTTCCAGCATTGGCTCTGGAACAGTCCCCAGACATGGTGATAAAAGAAGGCCAGTCCGTGAATCTGGAATGTTCAAAGAAGAAATCCTCCAACATAGCTATGTATTGGTACTGGCTGCCTTTGGGGAAGGACTCCAGGCTGACTCAGTTGGTTTCTGCAATCGAAGGTGGCAATGCAGCTGTGGAGAAGGATTTTGAGAGCCATTTCAAGAGCAGAAACATCCAAGGAGACAGCAGTTCCGGTCACAGCCGCAGGGGGCGCTGGTGGCTGCCGGCCAGGCGGGGCGGGTGTGGTGATTCCTCCATTCCTGCAGGGGGCGCTGTGGCACGGGCTCTGTTCTCTCTCTCCCGTGGTAATGGAGGCTCAGCCAGTGGGAGAGATGGAAAAGGGGCTTCCCTGACAAACCCACATGCTCAGCCCATCCCGGTGCCACTCCAGATGGTGAAATGGGCTTCAGCTATCAGCTGGAAAGCATCAAACTGGAATTGCAGAAATGAGCAGGCCTGGGGTGACAAACACAGTTTATCACAGACTCAGGGGCCCATGTCAGACGCTTCAGGGATTCTGGATATTGAGTTGAAATGTACCAAGAAGCTCTGAAGCAGCAGCATTGAAGAGCAGGGCTGGGTGGTGAATCGATCCCCTCGATAGCTCACTGGGATTGGCTTTTCCTGGAGTCGGGCTACGCCAAGGGGGAGGCCCCAGCAGGGGACAGGGTGCTCCCGGGTCCTGTTATGCCACCACTGGCTCTGGGCTCCCAAACAGCACAGAAGCAGAGACGCAAACCAGTAAGTTCCAGCAAAAGTGCAGAAGGAAAAGAAAGGAAAATGGGCAAAGACCACATGGCAACAATATCTCTTCTGAGAGGGTTGTGTTATGTGGCCATGGAGATGAAATCCACACACTGGAAGAAAGGAACCGTCCCTCAACCCCAATTCCCGCAGGAAATCCCGGGCTGGCTCCCACCCATCACTATACTCCCAGAGCCCAGGGGGCAGGTTGTGGGGTGGGGGATGGGGCAGTGACCCCTTCTAGACATAAAAATGAGAAGGGTGTGGGATAAAAAACCATCTTCAAGGCAGAACTAAACACAATGCCGTACAGAGCAGACACGCCGGTTCAATACCATTAACACCTCAAATACCGTGTCTTCTTCAAGACTCCCTTGCGCTGCCCTGCCCTCTGCACACCCTTGCAAATTGGAGACCCTTTCCACAGACACATCAGGCATACCCTCTCTTGGCTGGAATGCTGGTGGTGATGTAAGGGTATGTGGGGTTTCCTCCTGTTGCCTGCACAATGTAGCCCACTCTCTTTCCTCTGTTCCTCCATATTTTTTAGAGGAATATGAGGCCTTCCCTGAATCTTCTCCATGCTGATTGAGAAAATGAATGCAAGGTGTTGTGGGTTAAGGTTTCTCCTTTTGTTTCCTTTCTTGGGGAATTTTTCTTTCCCCAAGAAAGAAAATTTTGTTGCTGTGATACACTGATTGCCAAGTCATCCTTTTGATACCTCGGCAATTGGGAAAGACCATAGGACCTACACCGCACCCAAATGATCTTGCTGAGCACTGAGGGGCTGTGTGTGTGAGTGCGTGTGTGTGTGTGGCGGGGGTAACTTCTCTTCCTGCCCTGCTTGGCTCAGAGGAGGAAGGTCAGTCTGCTGCCTGTGGGGGGAGAGCTCGTCTGCCATTTTCTGCAGAGCCCAGCGTCTCTGCTCGTTGGTTCCTGTTTGCTGCACTGTGATCTTCTCTCTTCTGTGCACTGCTGGGGACCCTGAGATTCCAGCTGCAGTGGTTGAGTTCTGCTGCATCTTGTCTGCAGCCGCGGGATTCTGCTCGTCTCTTTACTCATCCAGCCATTCTGGGGTTTTCTTGCTGTCCAGAGGAGCACTGAGATCGACGTTTCCACTGTGAGTTTGCAGAGGAACTTTTTTCTCCATCCATCTCTGCTGGTTTGTGTCCACCACTGGCAACGCGGGAGATCTGAACCAGTCGGAACCCGCCCCACAGCGCCCCCTGCAACTGCCGGAGAATCATCGCACCCGCCCTGCCCGGCTGGGAGCCAACAGCRCCCCTGCCGACTGGGACTGTAACTGCACCAAAGGGGGGGCTGTGTCTCTGTAAGGCTGTCACTGGGTTTGGGACTGGGTTGGTTGTTGCTATCGTCGTTGTTACTTCTTTCACCTTGTTATACATATTAGTAAAAACTGTTATTCCCTTTTACCTATATTCTTGCCTGAAAGCCTGTGATTTTTCAAATCTATAATAATTCAGAGGGAAGGGGGGTCATATCCACCACTCCAAGGGGGGTCCCTGCCTTCATTTGCAAACACCTGTCTTTCAAACCAAGACAAAACGGGACACACTGAGACCGGCAGCACAGGTTTGGGAGCTGGAAGAGGCATTGCTGCTCTCCTCTGCTGAAAGGACTCAGGGGAACATCTTCACTGCAAAGTTCAGGGCAGCCATGAGCAGCCAGATCACCTGATGTCTTGTAGGGCCAGCCTTACTGTGCTGTGCATTGCTGGGCACACAGCACAACACGGATGTGCAGAGTCTCTGTCACACCTCTGCACACAAACTCAGTGCACACAAGTACGAGACTCTTGGGCTGCCTACAGCGATCTCCCACTGCCTGGAACGGGTGAACAAGGCTGAGTGCAGAGAAGATGTGATGTTCTCCAGCTTTGCTCTTACTAAGTGAGTGCTGCAAGGAGGAGATAAGGGGAGTAGACACCAGGCTGACAGGTCAGCAGCTTTCCCCAGCCCTGGACAACACATCAAGCCTGATTGGGATAAGTAGAGATTCCACATTGCACCTTGCAGCAATATCTCTGAACTCACACCTACTGCAGCTCAGCCACGCTCACACACAGCAGGAAGCCAGAGGAGCAGAGTACATGCACCTCATGGCTGCCTGCAGGTGTCATTCCCCACCGTTCCCGCACAGCCAGCTGCCTTGTCACRTTTCTGACTCCCTCTCACTGCCCTGCCCACTCACAGAGAGACATCTCTCTTCCTCTCCACCTTTCCTCTTTACACATCTCCGTGTCTGTGCTGTCACCAGGGGCAGGTTGCTGGAGGGAYGTGGCCTTTCCCTATGGATTTCCATCGGTTCCTGGTGGCCATCCTGGTCCCTGTGGGTAAGTGGGCTTCCCTTCCTCTTGAACAGCTGCACTGGGGCCGCTGGTGCCTCCTCAGCTGTGTCCCCAATTGTTGGCAGCGTCTCTTCCTCAAGGCTTCCAGGGGAAGGATGGGCAATGTGTAAGGTAAGTTTTTTCACGGCCTCTTAAATCAGAGAAGTCTGCAAAAGTACAAATTTGCTTTTTCCTGTCCCATTTTAATACTTCACTTGACAATACTGAAGTCATTATTTCTCAAAACAGGTTTACTCTTATGTTTCCAGCTGGTTAGAAAGGGGTTTTTGGATCTTCCATATCCTTTTCAGAGAAACTGTCCCAGAGCTTTCTGATAGTTTTGCCATTCCATTCCATTCCATTCCATTCCATTCCATTCCATTCCATTCCATTCCATTCCATTCCATTCCATTCCATTCCATTCTGTGACATATCTCAAGGGTCTGTATTTTTGTCCTCTTCAATGCATTTCTTCTGTCTTTCCAGGCTGGGCCATACAGCAATCACCAGACACAGTCGTACAGGTGGGAGATCCTGTGACCCTGGAATGTTCTCKATCGGGGAGTGCACCCAGGTCCATGTCCTGGTACAAATTACCCATGGAGGAGGGTGCCAGTATGCAGTTGATTATATATGCAGCTGAAGGCAGCAAAGGAGATATTGAGAAGGAATTCAAAAACCACTTCCAGAGCAATGGGACTAAGAACAACCGTTTATCTGTGAAGATAGATCATGCCCTCCTCAATGACTCTGGCACRTATTTCTGTGCTGAACAAGATCCACAGTGACTCAAAGGCTGATGCAGCATAGCACAAACCTTTCTTGGCAAACGGGGATCTGCCACCAGCACACACTGGGCCCTGTGTTTGACAGCACCCTGTTTTGTTTGCTTGCCCTCCAGCTCTTAGGAAAACACATGGGATGTCTGTCTATCTATCTGTCTGTCTGTCTTTCTGTCTTGTTTTCTGCATGGTCTGCAACACATCCTCTATTCTTTCCAATSTCTGAATCACCTTCTGACTCGTCTCCCTTCTTAACTTCCCTGTCTCAGCTCATCTCTCTACCATTCACAGAGAAATTGTCTGTTCCCTGACCTTTCTTCTCTGTCCTCTCACACCTTCCTATTTCCTTCATTCTCATCCAATTCTTCTTCCTTTCAGTTTCCTATATCAATTTATGGGTAAGCAGGATGCGGAAGAGTTCCCACAGTCCTTTTCCTTCTCCATCAGCTGGAAGGCCAAGGCCAACTGGTCCTTACCCCAGTGGTCTCCAGGGAATGGGCACACTGCTGTGCACCAGGGTCACCAGGTACACCACTACCCTGTGATCTGAATACTCTGATGGTTGAGAATTGTCCCTGCCCACAGCAGGAGACAGCCCAGGTTGGCCATGGAATGTCCTGGCTGACCAGGACAATGACTGGCATGAACAAGTCCAAGCAAATTTTTCAGGAGGTGTTTTTGGTGTTTCTGAGCATCTTGTCTGGTCCATCCACTGCATCGCCTGCTGCTTTCGTTCAGACACAAGGGCTCACCTGAATTGCTTATTCCTCTTTATCTCCAGTTTAAAACAGAGTGCGAGGGCCCAGGAGAATATGACGCACCTATAAATTTTCAAAATCCATCAAGAAGAGAAGCTGGAAATTCCTTACTGCAGTGTGAATGGCAGGCTTGGTCAGGGCTACTACAGCTCATGCCTTAGCTGTGGGGACAGGGAGATGCTGTGTGACACACAACTTGTCGTGGTTTAAGCCCAGTCAGCCACGGGTGTTACAGGAAATTATTCACAACGCCCTTTCCATGGCGGGATGGGAAAAAGGGTAAAAATTATGGGATGAAGTACAAAAAGAGCAAAATAATAATAATAAAAAGGTAAAGAGAGAGAAATAAAGCTCAACAAAATCCATGTAATGCACAATACTGTCACTTACCAGCCCCTGACATTGTGCCCCGTCCATCCTTTAGCAGTGACAGGCAGCATCTGACCAGCTCTCCTCAGTTTACACACTGAGCATCAGATTCCATAAGAGGAAATACGATTTTCGCCCGCTTAGGTTCAGATATCCTGGAAGTTCCCCCTTTCAACTGCTTGTGCACCTGCATTCTGGAAGGGCGTAAGAAAATGTAAAGTCCTCGATTTGTGTTAAGCAGTGATTAACTAAAACTCTGTTAACAACTTTATTCTCATCGGGAATCCACAAAGCAGCACCATGCCACAGTCGCCACCCTTTGGTCCTGTCTCCTGCTCAGCACCTGCATACAGCTTTCCTCACAACTTCCACTGAAATTTATTCTTCCTGGAAACACTGAGTAGGGTGACACCCCACCAGCATTCACCTTCCCCGTGCTATGAGGCAGAAATTCCTCTGTGTCATCACTATCCCAGATGTTTATCCCTTTGCTCATTGAGCTCCCCAGCTATCCTCTGCAGATTTTGTCCCATGCAGGAGAGAACACATGGATGTTCATCAGAGCAGAAACACCTGAAGGCGCAGTGGAGAGGATGCCAGGGGCTGGGTGTGCTGAGCCTGTGAGCAGAGCAGCAGAGAGGAGTCACTGGCAGAGCATGATGGGATGAAATTGCCCTGTGCAGCTGCATTCTAGATCCCCGTGTTCTCATGAGCTGAATCCCAGTGGCTCCTTCCAAAACCTGATGGAGGACAAGCTCAGTCCTGCCAAGTGAGTAAATCACCCTGGACAGATCACAGATGGTCTAAATCCTTGAGCAATCCCTGAAATTCTCAAAGGCAGTAAGAAGCCACCAATAGAGGAACTCAGGCTATTTCCTGTCACCAGGGAGAAGTCATCCTGACCATGATCCTCAGCACCTTGTCACTCTCATGTCTCTCTCTTTGGGCCCCACTTCATCCTTTCTCTCTTCCCCTGTGTCACGATCCACTTAACCCAAGCGGGAGTCGTGAGGGTTCATTATCAGAATCTCAGAGTGGAAAAGAAACAGGGGGGCAAGTATATACATATTCAAAATCATGAGCAATTTTATTGGATTTTCGCGATAGAAGAGGGTGAGAGAGAGAAAAAGAGAAAGAGTGGGTTTTATAGCTACCAAAAGTCTCCAACGAGTCCTTTCAAGGTCCGGATTCCATGGGTTCGCCAGCAGTCCGTTGGGAGGATCCCGTCAGGGTCTTTTCAGATAAACTTTTTATAGTCTTTTTGAAAGCGGGTGGCAGCAGGCCAGGGGTTTGCGAAGTATGGAAAAGCCGGCCAAGTGGTGGGGAAAGAATGTCTATTGTTCCATAAGGTGTGCAGCATGGGCTGTGGGCTGTACTGTTCTCTCCGCCTTCACATCAGGAACAGTGTGACCATCCGTAGCTTACACGCTGTACTCAGCAGCCTAGGAGCTGGAAACTTGGCAGTCATCCCACCTTGATCTGGCTCGGACTCCTTTGAGCAAAAGTCCCCCTTTTTCCCCCTTGGGGTTTTTGGGCTGTTCAGTCTCTCCATCTCGATAATTGTGAGACAGTCATGGGTCTTCTGTACGGTCTCTTACACCACCCCGTGTCTCATGATTGTCGTCAAGATCACTCAGCACGATTCCGCAGTGTTGAGGCGAAGTCTTCAGGACTCGTCAATGCTGGTACCATAACCTGGAAAAGACAGAGATAGGAAAGGGAGAGGAAGAAAAGAAAGAAAAGAAGAGGAAAAAATAACAAAAAGGGATAAGTCAAAATCAACCAAATAGCACATGAAATTTGGATTGAGCTTTGGTGAAGCAACAATTGCTTTGCAAGAAAAAGGTTAAATGATTAATTTCAATCAAAATAGCACATGAAATTTTGATTAAACTCTGGTGAAGCTACAATTGCTTTGCAAAAAATAAGGTTACATTATTAGATCACAAAATAATGAAATACATTTCTAATTTCTTCTTGTATCAATAGCGTGAGGGGTATCAACAGAAAATGGGACATCAATCAGATTATGCATATTCATTATAAAAATCAATCGTTTTAATTGTTTCATCATTCTCCAATTCATGATGTACAAAATTGACAAACAAAACAAAGCTAATTAGAATTAAAATCAAAAGAACAATGACGGGATGACAGAATTTGTTCAGGAGTGTGTAGCAGTAGGTGACAACTCAAAAAGGGTATCCCACCAATTATGCTCGACATCTTTTTCTTACCCTTTCTGGAACATGATGTATTTCTTTTACATTGTGATGGACAGTTATCAGGGTTTTCAGTCCTGTATTCTTTATTTTTTCTAAGATTTTGATTAAGTCCTGATGAAGCAACAATTGCTTTACCAATGTAAGGTTCATCCCAATGGGGGTAGGTGTAATTTGGTGTATACGCGAATAGTTGGAATGAAGGAGGTGATAAGAAATAACTGGGGCTGAATAAGAAAAATCGCATCCTTTGATTTTAGTGAAATTACAAACACAAAAATTTGAATGATTTTTAGTGTCTACTACTAAGCTTGCTATGATTATCCTGTCACAAGCAGTTCTTATACATAGATAACAATTGCCTATATATATCAGCACTGTTTTAAGATTTTCTTTAGGATGAATTTCAAAATGACAGATATGGCCTGGCCCTTGGATACTCACAGGTATTTACCCTCCTCTCCTCCTGCTCTCACTGCAAAGAGCCCTCCCAAGGCTGAGTGCTTGGGCTGCTGTGGTGTCTCTYRGSGTCCTGCCTCTCACTGGTGTCATTTGCTGTGCTCACAGTGCTGCTTAGAGAAAAAGAGCCTTCACACAGCTGGGTGGGAGTGGGGAGACCACACAGGAACTGAACCAGCCACGTCTGGGCAAGACAGGGAAAGTGCATGGGAAAATTCAAGGCACCTATGTGTGGCCTTTACACCTCATTCCTCCTTGTGCCAAGGACTTCAGAAGCAGGAGGGGAGCAGCCAGCATTCCTGTGCCTTGCACACACTCAGGCTCCCATGCAACCTCAACACTCTTCTGTCCATACATCCCCTCCCTTCCCGTCCCTCCCAAACCCACCCAGGCCCTGCCTGCCCTTCCACCTGCTGCATCTCTGCAGGGCCTCTCTTTCCTCTCATGGTTTGTGTCATTGCCCAGTGTTCCCAGCCAGCCAATCCCTTCTCACAGCTCTTGGCCAGCCCCACCCCAGCAGGGCTCACCCTCACTCASTGCTCCCCCTTCACATCTCTTTGGGCAGCTACACCAGGCAGGTTGCTGAGAGCRTARGGGMTTTTCCCCATGGTTCCCTGCTGTTTCTTTGTGGCCATGCTGGCCCCTGTGGGTAAGTGAACTCAACTCAGCCCTGAGCACCTACACCCACCCCGCTGCTGCTCTCCCAGCTGTGTAACCTGTTGCTGGCAGCACTTCATTCTGCAGAGCTCCAAGTGTTGAAGTTAATCGATGTGAATGAGGTGGGCAGGCATTCCCAAATCTTCAGCAATGGCTGTCTAATTGTCATTCTTTGTGCAACCCCAGATGTTTCCTAGTTTTGGACACAAACTGTCCAGGAATGCATTTTGCCCACTGGAGAGTGATTGAGATCTCACTTGCTGATCTGAAGAGCTGTCACAAGCCTTGCACGACTTCCTAGCCTGCCCTATTCCTTCTCATCCTTTCCCTGCCAACCCACAGTGCCTACTTCACATTTTTCCATTGTTTCCCTCTCCTCACTGCCTCTTCTTTTCCTTCCAGCATTGGCTCTGGAACAGTCCCCAGACATGGTGATAAGAGAAGGCCAGTCTGGGAATCTGGAATGTTCCAAGAAGAAATCCTCCAGCTCAGCGATGTACTGGTACTGGCTGCCTTTGGGGAAGGACTCCAGGCTGACCCT